TCATATTATGGCCGGACTAGCTTAAAAATGCTTCTGACGGCTATGATTAATCAAAAGTTAGATAGAAATAATGTAATGTAACATATTATGCACTCGAAATCTTGAGATGTTATTGCCGAATCCAGAGGTGGTGAAGAGTCACTTCCTCCTGCTTCCACCTCTCCTCCACCCCCTTGAAAGCAGCCAAAATCCAAGTGTGAAATCATTTATAAAAGAAACAGCTGTAGCTGAGGAAGCACCCAAGATTCTCTTCCTTACAACATAGTTTCACCACCACCAGACCATGGACTTTGACTGTCATCATCTCTCCCGCCCCACCCCCCACAAATGTCCTTGATTCGCCACTGGACCTAGTGTTATAATTGGTTGTGTGGTAAACATGAGCTAACTAAAAGAAAACCCTAAAATTATTGGAATATGTTAAGAAGAAATCTTATGATATCACACGTTTCAATCATTGACTAACGACAATTTGTCTTCGCCGTTGAAGGAAACAAATTTTGGGGTTTTCTTCGATATTTTAATATTTATTTAATTATAACCTTAAGTTACCTATATCTCTAAAATAACTCATACCTTGGCCAGCTGTGTTTGATACGGTAGCAAGGAAGAGGACGACAGTGATGAAGATGTCCATTTTCGAATTATCTAACTACTGATGATACCAGTTTCCTACCAAAATGAGACAGTAGTCCAATCATGTAGCTTCTTATAGTCATACGGTTCAATACGCCCTTTTTAGATCAATGCACAATTAAACAATCACTCACGCATAACAAACATGTTGAGATCGAAATCGCTGTCATCGAGCGACAGGTAAATTTCTTAATTAGACTTCATAATTAGAGTCGAAAGAGTCAACAAATATAAGCCAGAACGTTTAATCCTCATCATCAGTTGGTAGCGGGAGGGGGTAGGGTGTCAGGGGAAACATTTCTCGCGAACAAACAAACCTTGCTGGACTATAATCTTACCAAAGCTTTTGTGATTACATTTTTTATGTAAATATTGTGTTTTAAAATCACACAATCGTTGAGCAATCATGACGAAATCATGTCACAAATAGATTCGTCTCATTGACTCCATATTAACCTCTGGAATAAAGCAAATAAATGCAATAGATGTTTACAATTTAGATCTGAAAGTAAAATTTTTCCAACTACAACTTTAAGCTCTTTAACCTTTATCGCTAAAAAATGTATACTGTAATAATTATTATTAACCATACAGTTCAGTAATAATTAGCTAGGTATTTTAAAAGTTGAAAGTATTTTGCTTAGGTAGGTATTTGTCCCCTGTCTGTCCAAAAAGTTTAAAACTGTTTTCCACTTGTGAAGTATAAACTCAGGAAAGATTTTATTTTTTTATTTAATTAAAATATATTTATATGCAGGATACAATTTGAGACAAGATGTAACCGTCTTTTTTAAAAAATGGGCTTGTTTAAGGCAATTATACAATATGACAAGCATCACAAAACCCTTAAAACAAAACAAACATATCAAGTACATCAAAATTCGAAAATCATTTTGCAATTAATACAAAATACATTTTGTCCAATCAATTTTAAAAATTACAAAATCAATCATTTTATTCTTAAGTTACAATTTATTAAACTAGAATTTCTTATAACTAAATTTAAATCTGTTTATTTTTGTTGATTGTTGAAAAGAGGGGTGTACTATTCCACACTCCAGCACCAGCAATTGTAAGAGAATTTTTAATGGATCTATAATTTGAAATTTGGAAAAAAATAAAATCCCCATACTGAAAGTGCGTAATCATTGCAAAGTTGGATTGTGATTTTGTATAAGGTAATCAATAGAGATTAATTTATAGTTTCTGTCAATATTCCTAATGTATAGATTTTAAAGATATCAGACTTACTTGTATTTTGAATGTGGTAGTCCCATGTTAGATTGTCATCAATTTCAACTCGAAGATATCTCATCTGTTCAACTTGCGTCCACTGACAGAGATATTCAAAATAAATAGTCTTTCTGTATTGAATTATTGTTGTCACTGATTGACATAACTTTTTGTTTTATCAGCATGATTCCCAGTTCATTTACAAACATAGTTTTGAGTTTACGGTACTTGTTCTACCTGATACCAGTGGTGGCGCCATGATTTGCCCCTATAGAGGGCCGATGTCCCCAAAGGGGGATGGTCGCGACTAGAAAAGTGGGCGTTGTAGGGTGTCGGTCTCTCAAATGTGTTCTAGGGGCGAAGGCCCCGAAAAATATGACAATTTAGAGGTTCCAAATGCTTATTTAATCGATTTTAGAATCACTATATATAGAGAATATATATACATTTTTAGGCCTAAACGTGAAGGTCCTCCTGAGAAGCAAACATAAGAAATTAAGGTCAATATGACAAAAGAAAAATATCTAGGTTTACTTTGTGGGAAAATGCCAAATTCAGGAAACGATACTTCGCTTACACTTACATTTGCACAAAAAAGCTAGACAAGACAAGTTCTATTACCGGTTACCGACAACATATTGTCAAAGTACGCCCGAGCACAGGTAAATATTTTTAGCATAGGCCTAAACGTGGAGGTCCTCTATGAGACGCAAATATAAGAATCAAGGTCAAAAACAATATGATAGAAGAAAATTTCTAGTTTTACTTTGTGGAAAAAAGCCAAATTCAGGAAACGATTCTTCGCATACAGTTTCAAGACATGACAAATTCTATCGCCTCACTGACAAAATAAATATCCGTCAACCTTGCAAAATATCGTGGCAATTTTGGTAGCGACCCATAGTTTGAATACCAAGGCCTAACAAGACAAAAATGAATGTAAATTTAAATAGAAGATTCACAAATTATAGGTTTCACAAATCTATTAAATACGCCCTCACAATCCTACTTTCTCGTGGCTTTGTCTGGAAACCGGCGCCCTAAAAATCCTCAGCCTAAAGCTCGTTTGCTCGCAAAGGCCACCCAAAATTCGAAAATCCTACCTATGGGCGTGCAAAAATGGATGAAAATATGTTTTATTTTTATTTTAACAGCAAACCCTGCGTATTGTTTGGCCTATACATTCATTCAAGGACTACCTATGTACCTCTGGCAATAAGTCCTTTAATAGGGAATCTGAGGGTTATCCAAATATTTCTATTTCATTTTGGAAGTGTTTTTTTTTTCTGTTTTGTATATTTTTGTTCGTATGTAGACCTACAGTTGAGATATTGAATAAATCAAATTAAAATCAAAATACTTTAAATGCGGCATTTTACTTATCAAGCTACTTAAACCGTCAATTCCCAACAAACTCTGATTTTGCTAGAATTGAAATTATTGTGGTGCCATTTTCGGGCCTTCAGCATTCAAAATCCTTAATATGTTGGAGCTTCTGGGGTGTTTGCCCCTGACCTCTTCAGAGGTTTTGGGACATTGCCCCTTCCCTGCTTTTGGGCAAATACTGGCGTCACCAATTTTTGGTTTCGATAATTTTACACAACCAAGAAATAAAATATCATCAATTAGCAAGAAATAGTGGCTCGTGAGATCCACTGTAAAATAATTTGACCCTTAAAATAAATTGATTAAGAACCAGGGATATATAACGTCATCAGCAAAGATACTAATATTTCCCTGAGAGACTGACTGTAAGATATCATTTATAAATATAGGAAATTGGCCGAAGAGCACCACCTTGTGGTAAACCACTTTCCAATAATTGTGCATTTGATTTTTCATTATGACATTTTAAATTTGTTTTCTCTTTTATATGTCAGAAGTAAACCATTTTATCTACGGTTGTCTCTCTCCACCCAGGAGTACAAATGGGTACCTGGTAGGTTCAAACACAGCCTGCGCTGAATACAGCTGCAACATTATGGAATTCCCCATGGGGCTTGAGTGTGTGTTCCATATGTGCTTGATCCAGCGATCCAGGGGTAATAATGTAAACGCATAGAGGTCTCTACAATATGCGCTATGTAAGTCGACAACTATTATTATTTTAATTTATTTTTAATATTTTAATTCTCAAGTTTGTCAAGTAATAATTCTTCCACGCCGAGTTCCTCCTCTACGTTTTCATAAAACCTTTGTACGCTGAATATCAGTGATACAGTTGGGACAGTTGCCATTAATAAACTTGGCCTACAAAAAACAAATAGGCCTAAGTAAAGTATGCATAATATAGGACATGTTAATTGACATCCATCTCGCCCGATCGATTGTGCAAACTCACCCGATCGACGATGTGAAAGCCACGTGAGTCATATGATAGTAAAGGCCTCGAGTGGATCGACCGCGAGCCAAAGTAGGGGGTGTATCGAATTAGGTCTGATAATAAAATATATAGAGAGAACAAAAAACAGTATTCTATAAATAACACTTTTACATGCATTTGTCACGAATTTATAATTGTAATCGGAATTTAGAGTGCAAACTTTTTGGATTTTTTTGTATACTATATAAAAGATGTACATAAATGCCATTATTATTTTTCAGTATAGATATTATGCAACAAGGCGAGGGTTTGTAATCTCAGATTATTTTGTTTATATAGTGATCGGTTATATCAGTAGATCTTAATGCGACAACAGATATCTAAACGATATATTGCCGAATCCAATTGGCCACAAAATATGAGGTTGATTTTTCCTCCATCAAGTCTCGAATCAGAGATATCTTCAGAGAAAATAATGTCACTCATCTCACTAAGTTGATTATAGGCCTCTTGGCAATTCTTAATTATTTAAGATTACTGATTATATCAGGGCAATGTTTTGTTTTAAAATGACACTATTCTGTTCTTCAGTATGCGTATGTTATTCGTTACTCAGAGAGGAACGCTCTAATATAATTTTACATCATTCTCCTCTAAAATCTCACTGCGAGTCGAAGAGAGAACAAATTTGTCAAATATGAATTATGGTTCTTTAAAACAGTAGGAATCTTTCCAGCTGTTCAGAACATAGCCTAGGTTTTTCTTTTGCATCTTCAATATTGAATTGATTGAAGTACAAGAGACTTTACTGGTGAAACAAGGATTCGCTTACTTCCTCAAGAGACTTACGTAGTCATTAAATACCTCGACCTATCAGCAGTCAATTAATCTTGCTCTGCAAGACTGGTCGTCCTCAGTTTGATTCTTAAAGTTAGGACACTCCGTTTTCTTCGATACAAGCAACAGCACTGCCATGGAAGGTTGCGGTATCGAGCTATATTTCATTGATGTCTATACCTGTATTTACTTAAAAATATTTCATAATGTCAGGCTTGTAAGTTCATTATGCTTCAGTTATAAGACGTATCATTCTTTTGTGAATTTGGATAACAAAAAGGAATACTGTCGAATAAGCATCAGATCCGGTGTCGAATATTTGAAGCATCTATGTCTCGGGAGATTGATCACAGTATTCGTATACAGAAGACTTGCCACTTGAAACATTTGTTAGATCATCCGACGCTTTAGAAATAACACCCCTGAATGGCTTCATTGCTAAAAATCTCAGTTCACCGATGAATCAGATACCCAAATATTGGCCTAGTAACATTTGTCAATATAGGCTGAGGCCCAGTCATGACAATATTCTTCGGACGTTAGTTGGTACTAGATGGAATGCATTATACGACTTTTTAGTTACTCAGTCAACGTTGTTAAAAGGTTCACACAGAGAGTAGATGAGGTGAATCCTACGACGTACTCCACTCCGACATATTGAATATGATGCACCAGATTAAAAGTCAGAGTGTAAATTAACCAATAGACCTGTGTTGTTAGAGAAACAGTTATACAATCAAGTTGACCCAGACTAGTGATCTGGAACAATATTTGTTCACATTTAGTAATCTAGGATGCGTCATTGAAAGGATAACTATAGGGGCAAACTCAACCATAATCAAACTGTGATTGAGGAGAGCTCCAATTATTAGACATGTCATTAATAACTGTAATTTTCTCATGCTGGTTTTATCTACCTGCAAGGTATCTATACTATCAGCAATTCACAAAAAGAGCTCCCACTGTGACTTAGGATGTAAGGGGTGGTTTAGGGGAGACCGGGGCGCGTTGAAACAATTGTTACTCTTTTTTTTTTGGCCATCAATCAATAATGTGTCATGAGACTTTAAAAATGGTGTCAAAAGAAAATAATGGGTGACATTTACTATTACAAGAAAAAAATATTAAAATAGTTTTACTAATTGCCCTTCAGGAGGCTAACTTCACCATGTTAATTATTACCTCCGCCAAGTAGGATGCACTCATCCCTGTCAGTCAAGGTTTCTTCTGTCTATCTGTATTTTACGCAATAGTTAAGGAATAAATGAATCATGAAATTTAGTGGAATGGTACATAATAATCACAGAAATAGATTATCAACTATAGGGAAGAAAAGAACAGGGTCAAGGTCACGGAAATTCTAATCACCCTAGCGCTATTACCGTGACTTCGTTTTCTGTGTTTCATTTTTAAGCATATGGTTATTATTTTATTATTCAAAAAAAGCCATAAAAATTGGTTAACTTTCGATAATAATACGTTCTATCAGTAGATTGCTATGATTGTGATGTCATATCATTAGCTCTAGTTGCTGCCAGAAATGCTTAGGCTAGGTTTAAATCAGGAGGTAAATTTATAAATGCGTCTCAAACGTTTACTTGTGTGACGTCTTCAAAAAAATGAACACAGCTGCCAGTCCTACAATGTTTAACGGGTTATGAATGTATATGATTAACGAATGCGCAAACTAGCGTCAACCTAGGTAAAAGGTCCTTAACACGTCCAGTAGGCCAACTATTATTTTCATAATAGGTAGCTTTCGCCGCACGACGTTAACCTTAACTTTAACGTTAGTACCCAACATGCAGCGCGATAGCTCCGCCCCTTTTGTAAACAAATCGAAATACGCATGCGCAAACCAGTAATTAACGTACGTCGAGCACGTAAAATACTGAAATTAACGTACTCCGCAACGCAAGATGAATAAATTATGTCATTCGTTAACGTTTAGGTGAACGTCGTGCGGCGCAAAACTGCCTAATATTGTATAACACGTTCCGTGCGGGGTGATAGTTTGGCCTACTACTCTACCGTATGTAATATATTAAGATGTATAGAGTTATATGTATATAAACGCACTGGGGAATTTTGTGTATGATGCGTCTCACATACATGTAGAACCAAGACATGTCTCTTGGACTTGGACGATGTATGTGCCCTAACCTTATGGTGTCTCATTAAATACTGTCACTTCATGATGTCACTCTAATTTCTGTTTCAAGCTGCTCATTCTTCTATGCTAATTTCATAAGGCACTCGTCTTGGTGAAAAGGGAGGTATTATCCTCCCCTGGGTTTAAAGCCTCTCAACACAAACAATACAAACATGTGTAAATATGAAAATCAGAATAGTGCATTTTCCCCTCTTTTTTAATAACAATTATCATAAAGAGAAAAAAAAATGGAATGAACATATTATGCTAAAAATAGTAAACATACTTCATGGCAACAATAGTAACTGTACTACAATAAGGAACAATAATGTAATTATTTATTTCAACAGTAACTTTTAATTAACATGCAGCTATTTCAATTATTGTTTATATTTATTTATTTGCTTATTTATATTTTTCTTTTATTTTTATATAGAAGAGCAAGAGTTAAGGCATTTGTGATTCATTTGCCTATTTTGCTTACCCCCTTTTTTCATTTTCAATGATGCATACACTAATTTGTTTAATTTATTTAACATAAACATAATTATTTCGACTGTATGTTATAATACCTAAGTTAGTTTTCTTTAATTGTATGTTGAGTTGAATTTAAATAAATGAATGAATTATAATATAGTAATACATGCTATACAAACTATAGAGAACAATAGAGCTTCGGTTACGAGAACACCCATAAAGTTCTATACAATCAGAATAGCCTATAGGACTTTCAGTGAATCATTGATGGTTGACTGAAAGGTAATGCACTTTAAACAGCGTTTACGGCAAATTGAGTAGGGGGCTGATGTTACCTGATTCTAGACCTAAACGCTCGAACGTTCCGTATGGTAATAAAGCAATTCTTGACCGCCCATAATTTCAATCAGCAAATTCAGTATTTTAGCTTTCATATCCATATTTTTGAAGATGACCCACCTCTCCGCCACTATTAGAGCAAAAATGCTGTACTGACATACTGAGCCCTATGATTTTCTCACCATAGGGCTCCGTGAATCGTCATTACAGATTACAGATACAGATTAAATACCGTACTAAAATTAAATTAAATGTTACACCGTAATATCAACATGTTACTACAATCTGCTATCATACGCTTTTTCCGTCAAAAAGCCTCCTCCACCTTTAAATTAGACTCCTTTTTAGAAATTACTTGAAACAAACAACAGTAGATATTCACTTTCATATACAAATAAAGATGGAAATATTATATACTCCTATACAAACACAAACTTCCTTGATGTGTACGTGGACAATTATTGTGCACACTGGATCATGTCTTACGGCTCATTCAACAGTCGGTACGGGTTAGTACCAGGTGAATAATCAAACTGCAATAGCCCCCGTATAATACAATAAGTGCATTCAAATTGAGTTAAAATATGTACAAGTTTACCGTCTGTTAAAACAATAATGGAGCGTTAGGGGGCACAGTATATACTTATTAGCTGAGTCATTGATGCGATTAGCCTCTGTCTGCTACACTGCCACAATTAGAAAATGAGTTAATGTTAAGTTTACAGTCAGCATATTATGTCTTCTTAATTGTGCTTTTCGCCCACACAATCGTCTCCAGAAATTTTCCAAGAGAAGTTATTAAACTAAAAAACACTCGCAGACTTT